TTGGTAAATCATTCCCCAGATCACTGCTCTCAAATTCATTACAAACAAGTTACTTTTAGTACATCTCCTAAGTAATTACACATACCTATGTGATCACACAGAGCAGTGTGGAGGTGGACTTGTCAGGAGGACTGAGGAAGAAATGGTAAGATCTAGCACTCAGAACAGGGCAGTGAGGAAGGAGAGGACAGAATGGAATGATCCCCTCCTCTTCTAATAGGAGGTAGCTTGAAGTAAAAAATACATAAGAAGAATATAAAGAAACATCGGAACATTACTGAACTCTAAATATAATATAATATGGAACAAAGAGGCAGAGGCACCCCCAAGAGGAGCTCTGTGCATAGGTAAGGTTTAAGAAGCTTCCTGAAGCTTTGAACCGATGATACAGGAGATAAGTTCTGGTTTCTTAAAGGGCTACTGCTCTTCCTGATGTCCTGGGGAAGGTTGATTTCTGAGTAGATGAGAGGCTGGAATTAATGGACTCCAGCTTCTTTTGGAGGGTGGGCCTCCTGCCAGGGCTGATTAGCCAGCTGGCCTGTCCACTGCTCCTGTTTTATTGCTTCCTTTCTCATTAAGGAAGGTGTTGGGTTTGGATAACCATAAACAACATGTCTGCTGTTGCAAGGCTACCATCTCTTGCACAGTCAGTGGCTGAGACCAGGCTCTCAGGAGTCATTTTTTAAAAAAGACTTAGGTCACAGTTTTTAAGAAACAGGAAAAGGAAGTCCAGGTTTGAAACTATGCCATATAAATGGTTATTTTTTTATTTTTACTGTTTTTCCTTTAAAAGAAATTTCAAAGTGGTTGAGAAAATAAAACTTTTTAAAAATCGGTGCTGTTTTCCTAAACTCTTCTTTCTTTCTCACCTCACTTCCTTCAGCATAGCCACAGGAATAGTCCTGAGGCCTTCAAACCCGAAATATGAGGGCAGAGAACTGGATTTCCCTTCACCCTGCCCCCAATCAAGCCCAAGGATTCTGATCAGCAACTAGTCACTTGTGAGCTGTTCTGTGGGTGCCTCAAAACTCCCTGTCTACATGGGCCCAATGGCTGAAGCCTATTTAGAACGAAGAGCTTCTGAAAGGGAGCGAACCACTTTGCTCCTCCACCTTCACATCAGCAATCTCAGCATTTGTACTTCCCCCTCCCCAGTCAGTGTGTTTCTTAAAATAACCTTCATTGGCACATCATTTCTCACCAGGAACATACCTTTGTTTATTCCAGTCCTGCAATTTTCTCTCTTCCAGCACAGGGAGAATCATATTTACGCAGAAAACCACAGTGTTGAACTAGAGCCCTCCGTTTCTTAGAGTTTCACTTTCTAAGGGAATTTTGCAGGTGGTTCCATCTGGTTTTCCTGATTTTTTTCGTCCCTAGTCTGCCCTTACTGATTTCCTCCCTAATTCCAACCAGCACCCAGCCTCAGTACCTCCCTACCACCTCACCACAATGGTCTTCTCTGCTCATGATAGTCATACAGTTCACCAAGCTTCTCACCATGTTCCAAATGGTAAATGCTCAGAAAATCCTTGTTGATCTGTACCAACTACTCCCAGAACCTTTAATATGAATACTTTGAAGGAATCTATTTTCCACAGAACATTTCATATAACTTGTTTAGATTTTGTATCAAAGTTCTACCTCACTGTGTATTTTTTGTTCATGTGGCTTCTCTAGAAAAAAGACAAGAATTGCTTCTGTGTTGAGAGTGGATAAATGAACTGTTCTGAATGAGAATTATGTTAATGTAAATGATCCCTGTGCATTTTAAATTTTAAATGGACCTTTCTTTGCTACTTAGCATACATCTGGCCCATTATCTACCATGAAAAGCATTGTGTCCAAAAGAAAAGTAATCAGCTCTAATGTTAGATTAATCCAAACATAATCATATATACTTTGACAAGAAGAGTGATCTAGGTAATTTTGATTTATGCTTTAAGAGCTTACCATATACCAGGCACTTTTCCAAATGCTTTATAATTACTAGGTAATTTAAATATAAAAAAGGCACATATACCATTTTATTGGGATATAATTCACATACCATAAGAGTCACCCTTTAAAAGTGTGCAATTAGTGACTTTTAATATATTCACAGAATTGTAAAACCATCACCACTGTTTAATTTTAGAACATGCTCATCATCCCCCAAAGAAGCCCCATACCTATTTGTAGTCACTCCCCACCTCCTCTCCTCTTCTCCCTCTCCTTCTCCAACCCTACAAAACCACTAATTTGCTTTCTGTCTCTATGGACTTGTCTATTCTGGGTATTTCATATAAATGGATCATATAATATGTGGCCTTTTGTGTCTGGATTCTTTTAGTTTAATGATTTCAAGATTCATCATACTGTAATATTTACCTTTTTGTTTTGTTTTGTTTAACCAATCCCCTTTTCTCTAATTGTCTCATTTCAATATCTGTCTTGGAGCAAAATTAAATCCTGAATATCCTAGAAGTCAGACAAAAAGAAAAACACCATTATTTGACTCAGTTTTAGTTAGTCACAAAAGAAGTACAAAGTTTATCAAGAGCACAGGTATTTTTCTAGCACAGGTATTTTTAAGGGGAATCATTGTAATCCTTTAGTGTCACTATATAGCTCTATCTTTTGATCATTTAAGGTGTTTTCCTTGCTTTCTTAGTTATAAAGTGTTGCCCTGGCAACATGGGTTCAGGTCATTTGAGAAGGGGAGGAGAACTGTCTGTGACTTCCTCAATAACTCTTCTTTTTTTTTTTTTTTTGGTGCAAGGGGGATTCTTATTTAATCTTTAACGGCATTCTAATTTGATCTCCACTATTAATTCCCAGGGTTTTTCTTCATTTTTTGATTGCTATCTTACTTTCATCTGAAATTTTTGAAGTATTTTTACAACTTTATTCCTTAAAGGGTCAAGCACTTTGCCATCTCTGATTTGAAAATAGGTCTCAAATAATATAAATTATCTAGTAGGTGGCAGGAGGAGGGATGGAAAGACAGAGAACTGTACCGAGGAAGAGATTTTTTAAAAAGAAATCTCTTTGCTGATGTCTGCCCATGAGTTTGAAAAGAGGAAAGTTCTGACATACATGTAACTCCCTCCCTCTATCTATCTATCTATCTATCTATCTATCTATCTATATGGAAAGAATTAATTAAAATTTTATTACTGAACTATAGCAAACCATTATCATCAGTTCATACAAAGACCTGCTTTAATTTCACCTTCATTTCTAATCCTCACTCACATGCACCTCCCTCAAATGCATGACTTCCTTATGTGTTTGATATATGTCTTTAAGAGACATGTATCTTTATATACTGTTTAGTGTTATTGGGTGTGAATGGTAATTATATAAATAATATTGGTCCATAAATATTATATTGTTGCTATTTTTTTAACTTACCACTAACCCTTTAAAACCTGTACATATTGCTGGATTTACATTGAATTTATTGCTCTAACTTGTGCATAATATTTTATGATATATATCCACCACATTTTACTTTCCTGTTCCTCTAGCAACAGACATGTGCCACAAACATTCTCATACTTGTCTCCTTAGAGACCTAAGGGAAAATAAAGTTGGTCTAAATGTACAGGAGAGTAATTGGTGGGCCATAGGACCTTACTAAATGCACTATCATATTTATCCAGTGCCTCTTGTGCATAACCAGCATCTTCTCGGTCCCACCTCCTGCTCTGGTTATCTCTGCAGAGATCAGAGATAGGCAGGTGCACAGGCTGCAACCAGTATAGTGCTGGTATGGTGCAGTAGAGCCTCACCCCTCAATGAAATGGGGTAATGGCGGGTGGGGATAAATAGTCACAAGGCTACTCTTGACCTTTGGAGGATAAGAGCCAAAGGACAGTTCTGAGACACAGCTCTTACCAAGATCCCTGTGGGACTGAGTAATTTCAGTCCCCCA